TCCCACTGTGCTCTACCCCACCAGTCTACCCACACAGGTGGAGCTACAAATGAATGTAGTTGGGGGTTTACCATACTGAAGCAGATGGGGGATCAAATATTTGTTTTAAGATTTCTTTTAAAAAAAAGACAACTATGCTTTATCATATATATATTGTCACTTTATTACTTGAATTGTTCCACACTGTCCAATGTATTTCTTCCATCATGTCCAATGTATTGGTGATCTGTATCTTCAGGCTATATGTTGTTAAATCCTACCAAGAAAAAAAATGCATGACTTCTTGGCAAGAAAAGTCTTTGCTTGTGTGCTTTGGTCTAGTCTTTCAGCCTATCCTCTGGTTTTGGTTTTGTTTCCACTCTATTGGTCCACATATCTGTACTCTTCTCTATGAATTCCAACATTTCATTGATGAAGCTATCCCTGTATTGTCTGATTTCTTTGTATTTCATTTTGGTTTGCCTTGTTGGTTTGATTGCTTCTTCGAAACCTACAAAGTGGAAAAAAAACCTGGCTTATTTTGTGTTGTAATGGTTATGGTCATGCAGGTTATTACTGTTTTTTTGAAGTGAACTTCAGAGCCTGTGAAGGTTTTTGAGGGGAAGATCACATACATTGCCTTGACGTCTTAGAGATTCTTTGAGGGGTCCCTAAGCTTGTCCCAAAATAGGGGTTTGACAAATCCATATTTTTGACAATTGAGCGATTTCTGTATATAAAGAAGGCTGAAAGTACGTAGGGATTAAAAAAAAAACATGTACCCAAGGGGGATTGTATTTTAGAAATATATTATTTTATTCATTAAAATGGGTCAAAAACAGGTAAGAGACAAAAACAGAATATTTGTATAGTTTCGTTTGAATGCCTAAGAAGTATGGTTGTATTGTTTGTATATAGTGTAAATACCTGGGATAAAAATGAGCTATGTGCATGAAAAGTATGAACAGAGTCAAAAGGGAAAAAAACAACAAAAGCAGTAGTGGCTATGCTCTGTAAAATTAAAAATATTTCACTATTAGAGTATTTTATTTTATTTTGATTGTTCTTGAGAAGAACATTTTGCTAAAGCATGATATTATTGCAATATGAAAAAGTAAAAAATACTGTATTTAGTGTTAGGAGAAGTCTTCAAAATTATCTTAAAACAAGTATGGTTGTGTTTATTTTATTTTATTTTCATTTCTTTCTTTTGGGCTACCAAGAACCTTTTGCCAATGGTGCCAAGGTATGTGAATGCTATATAGCTTAAGAAGAAAATTAAGTTAATTTTTGCAGAACAGATAATCATCCAGTGAAATACACACTAGCACTGAAGATCATCACATCAAAACTGGCAGAGGATCGCAAAAACGTTAAGGTACACAGTTTGCAAAGAAAGTCATATTCGTGCTGAAAGCATTTAAGTCTGTCACGCGTGCACCATTTCTACAGATAAATAGAGCATTTATCAATCACCGAATACACCGTAACAAAGTTGAGTTACTTTTTTTTGTTGTCATTGCAAATGGAATGTGCTGATTTCTCATTGCTGAGGCATTATCTGATCTTTAAGATTGTAAATGGCAGCCTTGCCCGTGGTGGACATATAAAACAATTCACATTGTTACTCTGTCCCTGAAAAAGATGGGAGTAAACATGCAAACTTCAATTTACAATGTGCTGCATCGACCGACACTTGGAGAGTTGTTCCTTGTAGTCGAGTAGTGACGGGTGTTTCTCTGTACGGTGTTTCGGTTAAAAGCACTGGATCAAGGCTGCCAGAGTCTAAATATATATGTTGTATTCCATGTCAGAAAAACGCGTTTAGTTAAAAACCACATGTAGCATTATGTCCATAACCACATTTCTTTGCCAAGCAGCTGAATACAAGTTTGCAAAATGAACTGTGCCAGCAGTCAAAGGTGCTAAAACGATTCTAAACAGAAGGATGGCACTGAAAGTAGTCACTGTCCTCACTACAGAGTCCAAACAACTGCAGAAACTAAAGTGCAAACCAGTGCACTAGTGCCATTTGTAATTATGAAAGATAAGATGCATTTTGTGCATCGGGTTATTTATAAAATGATAGTATAGCAGAGAAAATGTAATTGGGATGGAGGAACAATTTGAGAGATAACAACAGTAAAGCTGCTGGTTCAGAGGTGCCTGTTGGCTGCTGTTTAATCCCTATTATATATTACCACCATAAAGTCTATCCTGTATCCAAGTATTGATACGTGATTATTCAGCCAAGTGCCACTGGAAAACTTGAGTTTTGTTTAGTGAACTGTTGTCATGTTTGTTAAATTATAATTAAGCCAAATGTGTATTTTTCCAATTTATTTACTTGAGTCACTGTTTTTTTAATTGTTTGTTTTTTGCTGTTGTTTTTCCAGTCACCTGATATGTAAACGTAATTTCCAGAGTGTTTATGTAGGAAGTGCCTATATTCATATCCTAAAAACAGTAATCCAGTTTCAGAATACTTGCATTGTATCTGAGGTTGATGTGAGAGAACGCGGTCACCCACAGACAGTGCTCTATCTTCCACATAAATACACACGATCGCCACTGTTGTACCATTCCACTCACCAAAGCCACAATTATATGCCTGCACACAACACTTATAATACAGCACTCAAGCTTGTCAACATGCTAGCTTTTTTCTTTCTTTGTTTTTGTCTTCTTTTCCATTTTTCGTTGGAACAGCTTGCTAAAAACCACATTTAGAAATGCCACTACTGGAGTTTGTTGCCTTGCATTCATCCTCTAGTCTGTGGTTAGAATGCGTAGCCAATGCAATGTTGCGGCAAAAAGGAGAAGGATTTATTATGCTTGCATGGGTAAAATAGTTAACTGGGTGACAGAAGTGCACCTAAAGCATGCTTATTTTCCTAGAATCGGTAGTCAGATAGACTTGTTAAAGGACTTACTGTTCTGTAAAGCAATGAACATTGGTTTGAGGTGTCACAGAACTCAGAAAGACAGAGGGCACGTGACTGAAGGGCAAACCTACTAATTGGGCCAGTGATCAATACTCAGTAGCTACTGATGATTTCATGGCAAAGCATGAGGACGGGATTGTTTTTAGACAAGCTCTAACTTTTTTTTTTTGTTTTTGTTTTTTAAAAATCCTTTTTAATCAGTAGATTCCCAACTTCAAATAAGACAAAAGGACAAGGGTAGAGACATTGTGACAGTATATATAGCAACTAAGTGACACACGGTACACACAAACACACGCACAAGACACTGCACAGCACACATGCAGACATGTCAGGTGTCAATTTCACTTGTACATTAAGTGGTGAAGGCAGCATTGTTATTATTTATTTATTTATTTTTACCCAGACTGAGGGACTGGTTCACCTCCCTTCTGTATTTTACTCAGGGTGCCAAAACGGGGAGGAGGAAACAGAGCAGGACATGTGATTCACAGCAAGAGAAGCTGAAATTCAAAACCCCTTCTAGCAGACAAACAGGTTCAACAGTGCAAGAGTGAAATCTTTAACATGACTTGCTGTAGTGTATGAACAGTTTCCTCAAAATAACCTCAGTACACACAGTACTAGAGCCCTGAAATGATGGTTGTTTATGTATATGTCTTTAAGATAAATGATTTGACGCTTTTTCGTAGAAAGCTGTCATATTATTGTGTAACTTTGGCCACTTCTTTAGGCCTTTATAATTCATTTAGGTGACAGTGTAGAGGGTATTTATGATTGTAGCTGTATGAAAAGCTTAAATCTTGTTTTTACTGCCATTTGTGAATGGGACGGCAGGTTAGCTGACAGTATTACTCATTCCGAGATGTTCTGTGAATTGACCTGAGAATCTGCCTTTCCTCCTCTTCTTTTTCCGAAGCACCCCAACCAGAGAAAGGTAGGCACATCAGGACAACAGAACACAAACAGATTTACAGTATATTCCACTTGTTGACACAGAGCAATAAAGAACTATTTTGTGGAGACCTTATAGACCTAGCAAAGTTTAAAATGATTGGACACATGTAGTCGACTTACTCTTATGCAAATGCCAGTATTGCAAGACAAGCATTCAGTAGTTTATGGACAGCAATTATATGGCACCCTTTACCGAACTGCACGTTTTCATCAATTCCAAACTGAGAAGAAAAAAAAAGGCCCTGCTTTGATAGAAAGTCATGGGTCCTCGACACTTTGCATGTGAACTAGTGTTAGATCTATTTTCCTCTCCTCTATAGCTGTCTTTCTCTCTGTCTTTCCCTGTTATGTGACCCAATTTTTCTCCGCTCCCAACCCCTATCTTTAAAAGTTTCATGTCCTCTTGGTTCTCCTAATGTGTTTTGCTTTCCTCCTTTTTCTCCCCTTCTCTTGTTTGTAAGTTTTATTTTTGTAATTGTGCATGTACAAGCGTCACTGACTCGATGGATATGTTTAAAAAAAAAAAAAAAAGAGATTTCAGCTGCTGAAGCCATGCAAAACGTTTTGAATTGCCCTTAAAATATGGAAGATGTTTTCTGAATGCTTTATATTCTTTCTGCTGTAAAATAATAAAAAAAGGAAAAAATGAAGAAAACTCGAGAACCAACTTTGCAAAGTCTTTTTGTTTCCTTTTTCTTAATTTACGGAAGGCATTGTGGGTTCACCTTTTACCAAGAAAAGACAAATACACGATTTATTTACAATACCATTTTTTATTTCTGTTCAACAAACAGTGCTATATAATCTTTGACTTTCACATCTAAAAGAAATTTAGCCATACATTTGACAACCAATGACTTTATATGTGCATTTCACAGTTCTAACTAAACCCTAATAAATCATCTTAAAGCCCCTTAGCAATATGTTTCAATCATAGATGGGGCATTTTGTGTATGTCTGTGTGTGCGTGTGAGGGTGTGCGACTGCACATGCGCTTTATGCATGTGAGGTATTTCTTATTTATTTTGGCTGCATGTGCCAGTGTGAGTGTAAGATGTTTGATTTTTTTTTTTTTCTTTCAGTGCAAGCCGTGCCTCGTGCCTGTTTTCAGTCACTGTTTTAGACACAGTACTTCCAGAAACACTCTGAATTCCCTCCTCTCTTCCTGAACTGTTTCCGGATGCCCAGCGCATGGCTGAAAGGATTTAGGAGACTTTGTTTCTCCAACAGGACCTGAAAGACAAGATAAAGCGATTTAGTGAATTATTCACAGGGTGTTGCTCACATTACTTTGATGTTTTAGGAATAACATTCATTGAAAACCTACCTGTCTTTTGAGCCCCCTAGGAAGCAGACCTGTTGTTCTGACACCTGAGAGAAAAGGAAACATGGTAAACATGTGCTGATAGCTTAGCTGTGTTTCTGTGAATGTCAGTAGAGTTCATTTGAAACAGATGTACTGTACTTTTTCTACTCTTATGATGATGGTTGCTAACGTTAGACACGGCCATGGTTTGTATGTGCAAATAATTCCTGTGATCCTAAAGTTTAGGCCCTGTGTGCTCATTGTCAGACTATTTTTTCTGCTCTTAGATCTGCATGATGTGAAAAAAGGGGATCTCATAAATGTAAATAGATATGTTAATGGTCATCTCAGGCACTCGCCTCTGTTCGAAAGGGGCAGCGAATCAGAAGAAAGTGGGCCTAAATGGAGGAAGAGGAGTTAAAGTTGGGGGGTTTTCAGGCAGTAGATAAATGAAGGGGCTGTACCAAGTGTAAGATTTTTAAACTGTAACTAATGCAAAGCTACTCTAACAGAACACAGCATATGAAGTATATGAAGCTCAAAATGTGCAAATGAGCTTTAAAAGTAAGTAGTGCTTTAGTAAGCATATTACTATGTAACTGTGTATGAATCCACATCTAAAGCACACTCTTTTCTGCAAAATTATGTCATGTAAAGTCACATTTGGTCAATGGACGTTTCTTACCATCTCTGTTGATCTCACCAGATATTAGAGTGGAATATCTAAGGCCTGTACCATCCTGCTCAGAGAGAGGCAGATCATCCAGACTGCTGATTCCTCGGATCTCCGCTGATACTGAGGAGAACCAAACAAGCCCACACAGTTGGTAGGAACACCATTGAGAGGTACGGATTCGTGCTGTGAACATTTTGTAATCTAATTCTCACTGGTAATCACAATAAAGCATTCGAAATAATTGAACAAAAACTCAATCTCCTCTCCGATGGCAGAACTTTGGCATGTGAACTTTGGCAGAGCAATCATTGTTCAACACTGCAGCTCTAAAGTAATTACTTCAAGGCCCCAGGACATGACTAGCTTGCCATTAATCGTTGCAAATTATGTTTTATTACTAAAAATGCTAATCAAGGGACTGACACAGGGAATTACTTTGTATAACAGCTATAATAAAGATATTACTTTCCACTCACCAGATCCTGGATACGGCATCTCAGCAGATTCTGTAATGGGGTGGGCCAGCAGTGGGCTTGAGGCCACAAGCACAAAGGCCCAGGAGAGAAGATGGTTACACTTCATCAGTGCTGATGGAAGTGGCTCTGATTTGCACAGAGGGTGAAAAGGAGAAATCTACGTGCTCTGCTGATCCTAACGGTGTTATATAGTTGATGCTGTAGCCTAACCCCTTCCCACCCACTTCCTGCATTATGCACAGCAGACACAGATAGACCTTTTCTTGCTGCTACGGACGACAACATCATCCAGAGTCGCACTCTTGTGATAAATCAACAGGTGACTTATAGTCTCAATAAAAAAAAAGATGTGAGTTGGCCCATTCTTCAAGGGCATAGTCATATTTTACCTGCTCTTAAGGTTGATTGAATGTTTTTTTACTGACTTTGTAAAAGGTATCGAGGCAGGTGTTTAAGATGTCACGTCAGTGTAATCCCACGAGGGAGCAGATGGAGAAACAGGGCAGACAAATGACTAATATTTTTATACTACTAGTTCATTAAACTCTTGGACCATTTGAATCCTCTGGCTGTATCTCTGCAAACAAAGCCCAGCAAAGCCCTAATAAATCTGTAATTATTTAGAGAGGTGGAGTGGACATGTTAAAATGTTGAGGGCCGTGTTGTCTATAAGCCGTCTGACATTTTAAGATGACAAGAAAATGCTTCCATGGACCACTGAATCAGACTGATTGATGCATTTTATTTAGAAGCCTGGCGGTTTTAAGCTTTTATATCTGTGCTTTCACGTCTTAGTCATGCAGTAAAACGAAACTTTACGAGTACACCAAGCATCACTGCTCAGCCTAACATAGGCTATTGCTTATAAGATGGGTGATGGGGGGGGGCAGTTATTTACAAAGTCATATTCTGCACCTCTCTGTGTAATTTGTATATTTATTAGATGCATGACGTCAGCGTTCAGTCCCTGATAATGACAGCCAATGAAGCAACAGTGACATTTTATTTTATGCTTTGCATGCCAGACACTCCATTAGGTGTTGCTATATATCATGAAATGCAATTAAAATTTATATTCTGAATTAGTCGAGGCCAGTGTGCCAATTCCAAGTTTTTTCAGCATCTATAATAGACTATGGCTCCCCCAAACTTGATGTTTTTCCTACTCTATGCAGTCCTTTTGACAATTTAATTAAGAATTTCCTCCAGGCATCTGTGTTTTTAGGAAAACATTTTTAATTGCATTTTATAATAGCATTTTTAATGCAGTGTCGCCTGATCGCCATATTCACTAAATCTTTGAATGATATTATGTACTGTAGATGGTGAGATATTCCAACTTTACATTGAGGAACATTACTCTCAAAGTTTTCCACAATTTTTAGATGCAGTTTTTGTTTTTCGCAGATTGGTGAACTTCTGCCTATCTTTACTTCCCTCTTTAAGATGCTCTTTTTATGTCTAATCATGTTACTGACCTGTTTCCAGTTCAGAATGTTTGTCCAGTTGCTTCTTTTTAATACCACTGACCTTTTCAGCCTTTTTTTTAGCCTTCTTCCAACTTTTTTCAGACATGTTGTGGCCATCAATTGCAAAATGAGCTATAAAATTTTCATAAATCAGTAAAATGTGTCTGTTTACACATTTTTATGTTCTGGTGTGAATAAAATATGAATTTATAAGATGTGCAAAAAAAATGATGTTTGGTTTATTCACATTTTACACAGCATCACAACTTTTGGAAATTGAGATTGTACTAAAGTTTATTTGAAGCATGTATAAGATTTTATCTGGCTGAATTAGACAACTGAAATTTCTCAGTAAATCACATGATAGGGTTGGGCTGGCTTCTCTGTGGGTTCACCCGAAACCTTGGCTGATTGTGACCCACACCCGTTTTCACACCTTGGCTCGCGTGATTAGGTAGAGGATCAATAGGGGGTCCACAACTCTCCCATGGGGCTTAAAATCTGGAAAAAAGGACTCAAACTCTTTCATGGCATGCGTTTTTAATTTCTCTTTGCTATTTGGGCTGATTGGGCAAAATTTAGTATTGTGCTGTAGACAATCCAAAATGTGATGTCTACACACCAGGTCCTAGGAGGTTAAAGAAGTCCAGACGCTTTTCTTTCCAAGCTCCTTAGACTACGATGACCTGGATGACTGAGAACCTTTACAGACACAACTGAAAGTTCCATCTGTCCATCTCAGCTCCATAATAAAATACTGAGCAGGAAAACACAAAGAAGGAATTTCATATTTGGACATTGCTAGGTGTGGTATAACAAAGCCATTCATAGTCTTGGCGATGCATACAGAGAAAGAGGCTCATAGACACAAGTGACGCCTTTTATTTCATGGTATGGGAATAGCCTCGGGTGACTACTTTTCATGCACCACACAAAGTCTAGAAAGATGTTTTTCGCTGGCTTAACACCTGCTAAAAATGTTGTCACTACCAGGTGGAAACGCCATGTGCTAGTTGAATTGAATGAGACCCCCTCCGGCCCAATCTCTTTCTCTCCATCTGTTTATTTCTTTGATACTCTCAAGTTTAATTCTTCTTCTTCTTGATCTGATTCCCATGCTTGTTTGTTTTTTGTTTTTTGGTTAATATGCCCTTATTTACCAACCTTTTATCCCTGAAAACATCTGACGGTCTAAACCTCCTGAAAATCATGCATCTTAAAACTACGCCTCACATCAACAAGTTATGACAATCCAAACATTGCCATCCTTTTCATCTACGAGACCAGAAATTTCTTTCTAACTTGACAATATTTCAGCGGCACAAACGCAGCCAGCAGAGGGCATCGTTACGTTTAGAAACGTTACGTTTAATATTTGTCATTTTACACATTACAAGTAAATTGGGTTTAAATGTATTTCTAAGGGGGGAATCGTATTCTTCTAGTCAGAGTTGTCTCTCTCCAATATTATCAGTCTTAAAACTGTCAGTCTGGCTTATTATCTGTACACTGCAGGAAATGTTAGTTCTGCCTATTATTTCTGCACAAATCTAGTTTTTTTTTCTTGAAGATGTTGAGTGAAATTAATTATCAGCTTTGAATTCGACAGATAGATTCCTTCCTTAGCTCCCTCTCTCAAATGTCTTTTCGTTCTTTCCCATCTCCATGCTTTGCAATTAAACCAATAAACACAGCCTACTATATTCAAACTACAGCAATAAAAAGAATACATAGTAAAGTATAGCCTATGCCGCTCTGGAAAATGTGAGCAATTGGAACGTTTGAGATGCCTTCAAAGACTGTTGAAAAATACAAATTCACTCGCTGAACAGCTATGTATGCTTAGGCCTGGACAGCATTACTGGAGCTTTAATAGTATACAAGATGGGTGTCACCAACTTCAGTGTCCTGCTACCACGTGTCAAATCAGAATTCATAATCACCTTTGGCCTGAATTGAGCTCTTCTTTCCTTACAGTATTATTTTTTCTACAGCGACTTTTCATCCTGCCTCTGCCTCTGCCACCGAAGAAACCGGGCTTTTCCTGGAATGAAAGAGCTGGTAAAACATTTGGCAATACATTTGAATTTTTATTAAGATACCGTGGCTCGTGATAGACGAGAGCCCGAGCTTCGGTTTGCACGTAAAGGCAGCATCTTTTAACCGCCCACACTGTTGCCGAACAGGAGCTGCGAAGAAGCAGCAGCCGGAGCGACAGACTGTGGGCTAAGTTTGTCCGCCCTGGCTTCCCATCACGAGTCTACGGGTCTTTGTTTCTGTGATGAACAAGTACCTCCGCTTTCGCTTAAAATTCACACCCAAAGTAGAGGCGTTAGAAACGGTCAAGTGCGCTCGTGACATTTTGGATAGTTTGTAGCACAGACAGAGAAACAGGAAAGGAGAGAGGGAGGGAGAAGTGCGAGCGACTCCAAAGTTGACACTTCGCTGTCATGTTTGGTACTTGTTGAATAGGCTGTGTACAAACACAACACTGCAGTGTGTACGTGGGCGGCGGCGTGCTGGGAACAGGTAGGGCTGCTGTTATTTTACTTTGTTTTGCAAGTGGCCTTCAAATTATGTTTACATTACATTCTAACCTTTAGTTAATGGCAACAGTAGCGTTGCTCCTGGTAGCCATTGATCTCAGCTAGTTAGTGAGTAATCAGCTCTGTGGGCGAATATTAGTGGGTTAATATCTGTTCAGTATGTTTATTACCAAATGTTTTATTTGATTTTCGAGTTCCCTATGGTTGTCTAGCGTGGAAACTCATTGCTTCTTAATTTTACTGTATGTTAATTAAGAAACAATTTCTTTCTGTTGCCAGAGTCTTCTGTATCACCATGAGGCTTTAAGGGCACAGGGAGGACAGTGATGGCAGAGCTGGAGATTGACCAGTCCAACCTTCCACGTGTCCAAGAAGGTAGGCTTATACACTCCCACACAGACCCAACTTTAGCAGCTATAGAAAGTTCAAGAGAAAAGTGGTTTGTGGTATGTGCTGGAGAAAAGCTTTGTGTGTGTGCGTGTTTAGCCTCTATACATGCAGGTTAGAGATCATGGGCACTTACTGAGCTACAGACATGGAGCCCATAAGAGTTTTTATTGACACTCTAGCTAAGAGCAGATTTGTCTACCCTTCTGTTTGAGAGAGAATGAGAGCGACCACTTTGTATCCTCTCATTTTTGTGTTATGACTAACTTAAATCAGTGCTCTGTATCTACATCGGATAAGAAGTGTCTTGTCGTGTGTTGTGGCTGATGCAGCAGACAGTGCAGATTTAAGTGCTGTGCTGTATGGTAACAGGAATAAAGCTGGTACCAAATTGTCTGTTAGGAAAGCTAAAAAACTCTAGTCTGTTTATTGCAGTCAAATTGAATTGCTTTGTATGAAGTCACGAGAAAAAAAATAAACACACAGGGATCTGATGATATTTCAATCAAGTTTAATAATTGTTCAAATGTACTAAGCATCTAAAAAGAACTGATCATCTTTTATGAATCACTATCTACCAAAGGAAACGTGCGCATCATTAACGCTGTTCAAACAACTGAAGTATGAGCAGGGGTTTTCCCCTGCAACAGGTTGGTCTGGCCTTTCACCAAAGGAAAATCACCAGGACAAAAATATTTTTAACCAGCATTTTCTAAGTAGGGGTTAGTTTGCCCAATCTTAAAAACAAAACCATTTTTGATTATTGCACGGCCAGAAATAACAAGCAAATGCAAGCATTATAAAAGGTAACAAAACCTCTTTGTCCAAGCTTTATTTGAACCAGTCATTTTTATGTGCGCAGTCAATCCCCCAAAAGGCTGAGCCTGGAAAAAACTTGATGAGGGTCCATGCACATGTCCAGCCAGCTTTAGGTTTATTAAGCTGGTTTCCCGTGTAGAGTTTGGGACAGCAACCATACAGGAAAGACTAAAGCCAGGTAAAATAAGGCTGGAGTACAAAGTTGTTGTGTACAAAGGTTCATGTTGCATTGCTTTACAGAGATTGATCTCATGAGTGACAGAACTGGCATGCTGGATGCAGATAAGAGCAAAGAATGAGATAGCTGGGATATGTGAATCCATGGGAAAGAAAAGGGAATTCAGCTCAGATGAAGGTGCTCTGCAAAATACTCACAATTATGTGCTTGTGTTTTTTAGCTTAAGCCCTAATGGTATAAAACATCTGCTTGTGCATTGTTAGTTAGAGATCGATGCTGTCTGCGTACAGTGGTCGTCTCTCCACGCGTGTTCATTAAAATCATCGTTTGACCTAACCCTCCTGGATCAGTATTGTTTCTGTGTCCCTTCTCAATATTTGAACCCACAACAGTTTAAATGGTGGGACAAAATTGAGCTTATTCATTGTTTGTCTTTGTTGTGTTGTAGCTGTCAGTCTACAACAGTACATTTCAGCCCTTCTACAAACAGCTTTCTGCAAAATAGTTAAAAAGGAAATCAGTGCATTATAATCGTTGTTGAGGTAGGATATATTCCTGTAACAAGCCATACCTACTCTATTCAGATCAAGTATTTTCTCTGCAGTACTTCCAAGCACTTTGCAACTGGTGCTCTAATGTGTGCCTTTCTCTTGTTTTGTATATATTTCTCCTGTTTGCTATTTATTCCTGTTGTCCACTATTTAATTTTTATTCCGACACAGTTGATGCGGAGCACCAACAATTTTGTTGTGCATGTACAGCGACAATAAAGGGCTATTCTATTCTATTCTATTCTATTCTATTCTATTCTATTCTATTAAACTGGTAACAAAGTGTATAAATTGTCAGTTGAGCATATTCTTATTTGTAGTAACAGTAATATATGATAGCAAATATAAAGCTCAAGATCCGAACTGGGTCAACAGCCTGATCTGAATTTATCTTCAGAGTCATTTTAAGCTATAGATTGAAAATTATTCAGCACAATACATTTGAAATGTTGTAAACAAATATGAATTTATTGTCTAGCATATTCAGTATAGTTAGAGAAGCGTGTATGTATGGAAAGCAGGAATGTGTATTGGCAAGAATATGGTGATACTATGCGTACCACGATACAAGCATAAATATATTTTAAACATGCCAATGTGGGTATTAAATATGAGCAGAAAGAAAAAAGCTAAGCAACGCCACAATATTGTCTCGGTGTTATTAAGATGCAGCGCTAAATTGATTTTTATCTGCTTGCATGTAAGTGTGGAAACATTCACAGGTTAGGAACTTGTAAGCTGTCGCCTCAGTGAAGACTCATTCTTTGGCATGTCCAAGCTAATGAATGGGATAGAAGTAGGTCTGCGAGTCTTTTTATCAAGGGAGATAATTCAGCACTCCACTCTTGTTTCCACACACAAAGGGCACACTGTGCAGCTTAGCATTTTCATGCTTTATTGAGCAGGGGCCAGTGCACAAACAAAGCCAGTAATAGCACCTATAAACTTGTCAATGAGGCAATTGCAGTATGTAAATCATCTGTCTGGTCACTGATTTTTTTTTTCTTTATCCATTATCTTTTTTACCAGACAGACATTTTCTCTTTTTAGCTCTGTGATGGTTTACTTTGTGTTCTTTTGTGGATGCATATGCTTCCTCTTTCCTAAGAGCCAAAATTTCCCTTGTCCCTTTCCACCTTCACTTTCCTCACCATTTAAGAGCCCTGGCAAAGTCAGCTTTCTTTGTTTCCACTGCACCCCTTATCAGTTCCTGTTTTTTTCCCTCCTCTCCTGCTCCTGATATAGCCTGATGTGCTGAGGGAATGCAGCTCCCAGAGGAATTCCCCCCCCACCTCCCCCTCATTCCTAATTTCACTCTCACCAACTGACCCAGAGTCCCAATACCCCTCACCTCTCTTTGTTCTCCCTGACAAACTGGTCCAGTTCAGGAGTTATTTGGCCCAGTACGCTGCATTTATAGCACAACACAAAGATCTGTGGGATGGTCAGGCACTTCGTGGTGGAATCTTGTGCAGAAAAAGCAGTGAGGAGGAGAGCAGAACAGTCCAGAGAGGAAGGGAGCGAGAGGAGAGAGCATGTGGGCGGTCGGTGGGGGATTTTGGCTGAAAATAGAACCCTTGTCATTTCTCCTTTAGCCGGTTTCTTTGTTTGGCAGGCATTTGCAACTGCTGCTATCCAAGTAGCTGTGAAGATGAAAGTGTAATATCTCTGTCAGTGTTTGAGCGGCTGTTCCTGTGCGCTGGATCATAGACATGATCTGCATAATTTAGTTTTGGAAGATTGGCTGTTAGTGCGCTAATAAAAACACAGTCACCTATGTGTTTCTGTATTATGAGTGAAGGTTGCAGTTGAAAAAAATGCATTTAAATGTATGGAAAACAGACTTTTCCATACGACTGTCTAGCCGTGGTAGGTTCTTGCTTAAAAATTGGATATTACAAAAGTCAAACTAGTGGGAAGCTCTGTGCTATACAGTGATGCTGACTCAGGCTTTTTTTGTTTATTTTCTTGCTTTTTTAACATTATGTTTTTGCTTTGTACTCTTTCTCACTCTCAGTAGATCTTATCCTTGTTTTTTCAAACGTAGCATAAATTTTTTTTTCCCTGCTGGATCTTTGATTCACTATCCTCTTAGAAAACAGACACAACCCTATTAAGGACCTTCATTAAGAAGCTTACAGTTGGATTGCCTGCAGTCACACTGAGCATATGTTTTTTTGGGGGGGATTGGTGGCTCTGAGTGTCTCACACCTTGTTTCACAAAACCTGTTTAGAAGTAACAATTGTGAAGTCTCTGTTTCCAACCCTTATAGCAGTGCTGTGGAAAAACAAGTTCGCCCACAATGCAGACACACCCACATGCACATCCATGCTCATGCCAGAGAAGACTGTCATTTCTTTCATTTTCCCCTCATTTTCCGCTTTTCTCTTCTTTCTTCGTTGGATTCGAAGAGTAAATTGTTTGGACTTGTGATTTTGTACCGTCGGATAAAATCAATCCTTCGACTTAAACCCTCCTCACCGGCAGACTGGACCCATAAGGGCAGGTTAGAGATCCATTTAGCGGATAGTCTCTTAAGCTCAGCGACAGGTGTAAGTGGTAATGCATGTCTGTTATGGTAAAACTCTCAGTGTAGGCTTGTAGGGTCGTTCGTGTTGTAAAGAGGCTCCCTTTGGGGCTTTGTGCTGTCTGGGTGATTTTCATGGCCTGTGACAGTTGAGCCTCTCTAGATTGAAACCTACTCCTCAGAGACTTC